TTATTTATTTATGTATCCGTATGCTAATGAGGTGGGCGGTCCTAACCTCAGTCTGAAGCAGGATTGGTTACAGGAGTGTGTGATCATTTCTGGCAGAGGGCTATACTAACGCCTGGCTAACCGCGCTGATTCGAATGCAGGAGCTTTACTGTTTAGCCCTTATCTTTATACATCCATGGTTTATCCACAGTTGTAAGGATTATTTATGGGTATTGGTTTAAGAGCCATTGGAGATCATTAGCGGACCATTTAGAGAACGGAGAACCAAAAGACTATGTCCTCTCTATGTCCAGTTTCGTGTGGAACGATGTATAGAGGACTTGGCTCAGCTCGACATGGATGTGGATGTTAACCCAGCTGTATTTGAGAGTCTTCAAGAGGTTGCCCGCCAACTTGAAATCCTCTCAGAAACAGAGGAGGCGACCCTTGGGCGTCCATCTTACATGTTGCCCCCAAACGTTATTGAAGCACATCTTCGTTGGGGGCACACCGCTGGGGACATCGCGAACGGGTGTGCGAAAGAACAATTATTAAAGAAGCCATTATTAGCGAGTTGCCGTGGGTGTACACTGTACACAGAATGAACAGATGTGACTTGCCACGAATCTCTTGCTTCTGCCTGGCTCCAACAATTGGCGAATCCTGCTTCAGACAGGTTAGGTTAGGACCGCCCACCTCATTAGCATACGGACACATAAATAAATAAATAAATAAATAAATAAATGTATGCCGCATAAATGTAGAAATATATGAAAGATATATAATAACGTGTGTTCTATTTTATTTTCGACTTTTATTTATTTATTTATACATTGGTGTATTTATTTCCATATTTATTTTTGCATTTATTTATTTATTTGTGTATTTATTTCAACATTTATTTATTTCGTCATTTATTTATTCCTGTATTTATTTATTCCTGTATTTATTTACGTATTTATTTATTTATTGCTGTATTTCTTCATACATTTATTTACTTAAAGTGGACCTATCATGCTATATTATAATAATATAGTGTAGGACCATACCTATATAAGGCATATTTATACTTTTTTTTTTTCAAAATACCAAACAGATCATGCATTTTAGCCATGCCTCATTTCGCTCAATTTGGACTTTTTTACCCCTGTTTTTGCAAGGGCTGATTCTGTGAGAACAGCACCACCTACAGGCCTGGCATATGTACTACAGCGTCTCCAGCGCTTTCGAACGGCAATGGCCGTGGCTGTCTCCTCCTGATTGGTGGAGTTGGCCCAATAGCCGTAGCGCCACTGTCCTGACGTCAGGACAGTGTTCAAATCTGGATCAGTTTTTATCAGATCCGTTGCAGCCCCTTTTTTAGAGATTTGGGTATGGAGGAAAATAGAGAGGGTTGTGTTTTCTGACACTTGGTGAGTTCCCTGGAACACCGGGGACACATATTCATGTATAAAAGACGTACAAAAGTGCATTTTGCATGATAGGTCCCCTTTAAGTCATGTTCCGTCCTCCGTCATCGTTACCAAACCTGTCAATGTGACATCATCGTGTTCCATGACACAGGTGTTTATATTTGAGCTAACGACGACAGCTGTGTGTCACCAATAATGTATAAAATAGGTGGAACATGTTGAAGTCAGTATGAAGTCTCCATCAGACAGATAAGAATAGGCTCAGACAGTCTGTTAAACTCCAGTGACCACGTCGTTAGCTCAAACACGAACACCTGTGTATTATGACATCATCGTGTTCCATGACACAGGTGTTTATATTTGAGCTAACGAGGTGTGCAGAGATCAAAGGTTTCCATTGTTCTGAATGAGAGATAAACCTCTTACATGTGAACGCTTTGTCGAAGAACCATAACAGATATCTGTGAAATTTCAAAACGTGAAGCATGTCAAGGAAGTTGAGTATCTGAAGTGTAATTTTTGTGTACTTTCGGGTTAATAATGTGGCCTTTTTGGCAGTTTAACTAAAGGTGTGCGGCTGCTACCGTGAGGAAATATCAGCCTGAAATTACAATGGGCTTTAATGGAGGCATGTTGAAAGTTTTTGTCACTTCATGCCCTCAAGGCATTTTGTTTAATTATTTTTGTTTAATTATTTGTCATTTTTCAAGCTACGACATGTTTTCCTACGTTTGTCATGAACAATGATGTCTCAGGAATGTAGGGTTTGGGAATTATGGCAGTTTTCAAAAAAAATATGAAGGCAAATTTCAAGATTTCCTCCACTCTAGCTGTGACATCACGCACTCTAGTTAATGTTAAAATCTGAAGAAAGCCTCTTTACCAAGGTCTGAACAATGTTTAATATCTCTAAAAGTAAGAATCAGATTTAAAAGTTGTGTTACACGAATAATGTCAGAAAGATGTGTAACATTTTAAAGTTGGAATGAGGTTTCTCAGTGAAAGTATGAATGAACAGTTAGCAGTTGTAGTCACATGAAGATTTGTTGAAGTCTGAAGAATTTCTCCATTGACTTCAATGGTTAAAAATGTGATGTATTATGGGATGTATCTCTGGAATTATGAAAGTTATGAATGATAAAAGTAATAGCCATCGATTCCCGACCGAGCTGAACGTTTTGATGTTTGAACGGAGTTTCTGCGATGTTGAATGTGGGAGGAGAAGAGGGCCAAAATAAGCCGACGGAATAATAAACCTTTTGTCCTAGCATAACAGATAGTTGGAATGCTGTTATCAGCATTCCCACTAAATAATAATAATGCATGCGATTTGTATAGCGCTTTTCTTTAAGCATGCATATTTGTTTACAAACACTTAAACATAATAGGATATTATCTGCATTTTACACAAACGTGCTGCAGTTATGGTGTCATAGAGTGGCGAAGTCACGCCCACTTACTTAATGGGACCTTATTTCGGAAAAATTATGCATTGAAGTCAATGGGGAGAGAAAACTTATCCTTCGATCCCGTTTGAATTGTGCCATGAATTACACGTATGATGTTTGTCAATCTTAAAAAATCATTTCCATGTCAAAAGAGTCACAGTTTGTCGTAAAACTGTTGAAATATAAGACTATGAAAAATACGCAACTAGAAAGACTACAAATCCCAGAGTCGCGTAAGTGATGTCACAATTGAGACACTACGATATACGTATAATACCGTATATATACGATCAGCGCCATATAGATAGAATCTATCTATATGGCGCTGGCTAAGATAAGATAACTTTCACAAGATGCCTGTGTGCTTAGTACCAGGTTGTTATTATACCAGCAATGGGTCTTGCTCGTTCTTTCGCTTCCCGTCTGATGAAAGAGGAGTGTGTGGATCAAGCTAGCTAGTAGCTAGCACGTTAGTTAGCATTACAGCCTTGTCATTTTTATTAGCCTTAACATGAAGTAACATTAAGTAACCCAAAATGTTAAACAGTAAGAGTAGTAGTCATATTTCGTGAACCCTTTGAATAGTACTGTCACCGGTGTGATCATTCTATAATACACCATTTAAGCCCGGGGGAGAAATGCTAATGCTAACGTTAGCATCGGCGATCTTCTCTACTTCATGCTATCTGCACAAATGGTTGACATTAAACATTAAAACGACCAGGCAGTTCAGAGAGTATCAAAGGAAGGCAGGCAGGCAGCTTTGCATGACATTCTTCAGGACGCGTTTCATTGTGGTGATAGTGAGTAGTCAATCGTTGTGTTGACAAGACAGTAGTGACGGCCATCTTGGTGACGTGTGTTGCTGACCAGAGATGTAGTTCATTGAGCGTTTCACACAAACAAATGTGTTACTTCACAGTTTTACGACACATTTTTTTTTTTTGACTTGCAAAATTATCTTTTAAATTGACAAACAACATATGTGTAATTCGTGGAACAATTCAAACGGGATCGAAAGATAATCTTTCTCTCTCCATTGACTTCAATACATAATTACACATATGTTGTTTGTCAATTTAAAAGATAATTTTGCAAGTAAAAAAAAAAAAAATGTGTCGTAAAACTGTGAAGTAACACATTTGTTTGTGTGAAACGCTCAATGAACTACATCTCTGGTCAGCAACACACGTCACCAAGATGGCCGTCACTACTGTCTTGTCAACACAACGATTGACTACTCACTATCACCACAATGAAACACGTCCTGAAGAATGTCATGCAAAGCTGCCTGCCTGCCTTCCTTTGATACTCTCTGAACTGCCTGGTCGTTTTAATGTTTAATGTCAACCATTTGTGCAGATAGCATGAAGTAGAGAAGATCGCTAGCGTTAGCATTTCTCCCCCGGGCTTAAATGGTGTATTATAGAATGATCACACCGGTGACAGTACTCTTCAAAGGGTTCACGAAATATGACTACTACTCTTACTGTTTAACATTTTGGGTTACTTAATGTTACTTCATGTTAAGGCTAATACAAATGACAAGGCTGTAATGCTAACTAACGTGCTAGCTACTAGCTAGCTTGATCCACACACTCCTCTTTCATCAGACGGGAAGCGAAAGAACGAGCAAGACCCATTGCTGGTATAATAACAACCTGGTACTAAGCACACAGGCATCTTGTGAAAGTTCTTATCTTAGCCATCGTATCGTGTATATATACTGTATTATACGTATCGTATATATACTGTATTATACGTATATCGTAGTGTCTCAATTGTGACATCACTTACGCGACTCTGGGATTTGTAGTCTTTCAAGTTGCGTATTTTTCATAGTCTTATATTTCAACAGTTTTACGACAAACTGTGACTTTTTTGACATGGAAATGATTTTTTAAGATTGACAAACATCATATGTGTAATTCATGGCACAATTCAAACGGGATCGAAAGATAAGTTTTCTCTCCCCATTGACTTCAATGCATAATTTTTCCGAAATAAGGTCCCATTACCCGGAAGTAAGTGGGCGTGACTTCGCCACTCTATTGTTTTTACATTAGCGGGGAAAGCTGTATATACAAAATAACACGGTTTCGTGAAAGAACTACACCTCCCAGAGTGCCTTGCAGCGGTAAACGGAACCACTTCCTGAGATCAGAGTTCATCTTTTTTCCATGCGTGTTTTAGTGGAGTAGCGGTGGCAGTGGATTGTGGGGCAAATGTTAATATGAGAATACGTTACCCTAATTCTCTTGCGTGTTTATTTTTCGTCGTGTGTCGAACATGTCTAAGGTGGAAGCAGCGAGGCGCGAGCTTACCCTGCTGATCTACCGCCACCTGAAGGAGCATGGTTTCCACTCTGCTGCAGAGGAGCTACAGAAATACAGCCCACAGGTCAACACACACACTACACGCACACAAACAAACACGCGCGCACGAACACACACACTGCATTGTAATGTAACTGCTGGAGGACTGTTTAAATGCATGTACACACACACACACACACACACACACACACACACACACACACACACACAGTGCATTGTACATTTAAATCATAGATTTAAATGCATGTTAAATGGCCAGCATTCGGCGCCACTCGATGACGTGGTATACTTGAAATAGTGGCTCTGCAGCAGGTATACTCGACATTGAGAAACGGCCACGGTTTCAGGTTTGAAAACCCAGTGGTCAATAACCTGTCTTCCTATAGGAGTAACCTAGCTGACGTAACGGGTGACTACACTCGACACACATAGTTGCTGGCGGGCAAAACACAGGCAGTGCCACTGTGCCAAAGACAATACTGTTAAATATATATAGATGGTAGACGTGACGTGTAGACTACTATAGTTTCACAGATGTATTCATAACATCACAGAATCCCTGTCTTAAGCGTTAAAACTGTTTTTGAATCTGATCCATTTGAAAAAAGGATCTTGTGCAAAGCTATATAGAATATTTCATCAACGATATGTATGGTTGTAAGTATGATGTTCTTTTTTGCAGGGAGAGACACAAGTAACTGAGTCATTATTGGACATCTACAGATTGTGGTTAAGGTGAGTTTGATTTCTCAATTCTTTGCTGGAATCAAACACCTTATTTTGACTTGATGGTAGTTATGATGTGTGTGCTAAATATTGTTTCTATTCCCATCAGTGACAAGCAGCAGGACTCAGCCAAGCTCTCCAAACGAGAAAGGAATAAGGGTATGAGTGCTTCTTTCTCAAAACTTAAAGGGGACCTATCATGCAAAATGCACTTTTGTACGTCTTTTATACATGAATATGTGTCCCCGGTGTGTCGGGGAACCCACCAAGTGTCAGAAAACACAACCCTCTCTCTTTTCCTCCATACCCAAATCTCTAAAAACGGGGCTGCAATGGATCTGATACAGACTGATGCAGATTTGAAAATTCTCTGACGTCAGGAACGAGGAGCTCCGCCTATATGGCCAACTCTCCACCTATCAGGGGAATGAGAGGTTGGGCCACGGCCGGCCATTGCCTCTCGGAAGCGCTGGAGACGCTGTAGTACATATGCCAGGCCTGTAAGTGGCGCTGTAGTCTGCCACAAAAGCAGCGAAGAAGACTTCCCGCGCATGGTGACAAACACCCACCTCTCCGCCTCTTCCAAGGAACGAGGGGACCGTGCAGCAGAGTTTCAGTTAGATTTTTTTTCGCCGGTCAACATGTCCGTTAAAGTTTAAATCTTCCGGACAAAATTAGATGGTGCCGGTCAAAGGTCTTCTTTATTATTTATTGAGCTTTAAAACAAATGAATAATGACTCCATATAAGAATAAAACACGGAGGACGGAGATCTCTTTTTCTCCCCCTCTTCTGACAGCCCAGCAGCTGATCAGAGCGCGCTCCCCTCTCCTGCAGGGGGGCGTGGTCAGCTTCAGCTCACAGAATCAGCCCCCTGCAAAAACACGGCTGGAAAGAGCAAATAGAGCAAAATGAGGCATGGCTAAAATGCAGGATCTGTTTAGTTTTTTTTTCAAAATACCAAACAGACATGTTTTATATAGGTATGGCCCTACAATACATTGTTCAAATATAGCATGATAGGTCCACTTTAAATATGATTATTCTGATGAAGGCCTCAGGCTGAAACGCATTGGCTTTAAATGTGTTATTCCTCATACCACTAGTGATGCTAGAGTCTTACCTCTTTTTGCTTACTCCACTTACCTTGAAAGTAAGCGCAGTTGTGCCTTACTTTGAAAACGTAAAGTAAACCGCATGGAAAGTGTCAAACTCCGTTAACATAGCGTGATAATTGCGTTTTACATTTTTGAAGGGGTTTGAAGGTAGGCTAACTCGATGCAGTTTCCAAACCAGTTCTGTGACAAGTTTCATTCTTACCTTGCCTCCCACTTGTTTATGGAGGACTTGTGTTTTCCTTCCATCAAAAAACGTTCTGAAATGTTTGATATTTAATGCTCCTTTGGTCTAGTAAAGTTTGGCATATGTGAGGTTAAATTATTCTGTGAAACAAAGGAGGAAATACTGTAGCCCCTCTGAGCAGGGGGCTCAAGATGCTGCATCAACAACACTTGCATCATCCTGTTAGTACACTTGACAGAGTTCTTCCACAGTCACAGAAGAAGTGATTGATAGTCTGATAGTGTGCTTGAGTACATTTTGTACTTATTCTACACACTTTATTTCCAGCTGCAACAAAGAAAAAGGACAAACTTGCAATCAAAAAAGAGATGGAAGAAAAGAAGGTAATTAGTTACATTTTTTTATGAGACATTAAAGCCACTGGTTTAGTAACTTGTTCAACGCATGTTTGTTCAACTTTACTTATTAGGCTGTTATTTATTATGTTTTTCTTCTAGACTGTGCCGGCAAAAAGAAAAAGAAGTGAAAGTAAATCTGGAGAAAAAGTAATCAAGACAAAAAATTCAAAGACCCAAACTAAAGCCCAGGCTGTGGCTGGAGACGATTCTGACTCTGACGACAGTCTGGATGTAGATAAATGGAAGAAACTCCTCCAGCAGATGACAGGTAGGTGAGGGCGTGGGTCTGAAAAAGGGCATTTGTGTGTAAAGGGTGAGGATGAATCGAAAGTTTCCAATCATAATTTCCTGGCACTTTCAAATGAAGCTAATGGTAATATTTCCGAAGACACTAAAATAATTAAGATTAAGTCACATACTCCTGAGATAAGAAGAAAAATGTATTTTTTACATTGAGAAACAGATAGAATTTCTGTTTTAAGGAATGAGCTGCCAACAAAATAAATGAAACCCTACTGAGAGCTGTGATTTAGGCTGTTGTGTTTCTTAAAGCATTTTCAAGTATCAAGAATATCTTACCTATATTTGATTGATTTTGCTAACTTATAACTAAACTTATGTGGCAATATACCAGCCCTTCGTATATTTTTCTGTATGTGGCCCTCGTGAAAAAAGTTTGGACACCCCTGGTTTAGAGGGTTGGAAAATGCTGGACATGTTGGAAGATGGAAAACCATTTAGGGCCGAGTCCTCTCAATTAAAGAGAGAAAGACAACCAAGAGGTAGGACCACAACTCCAATGAATAACGTCACCATGGGAAACGGTGATTTCATACAAACAGAGCTGTGTACAGAAGCTGTGTGGATACTGTTTTCTTTTAAGCATTTGTGCCACCTAGTTGTGTTAGTTTAATGTATTCGTCATGTTTACTCAACAGATTCAGACATGGCCAAGATGGACACCATCAATGCGCTGGACTCGGCTGTATCACCACCCGTAAAAAAGAGAGTGAGGAAATCCCGGGCAAAGCCTCCCGCAAAAACAATTACTCCCAATGAACAGAACACAGTTGGAGAGAATAAGACAATGGAGGAGAAAGCCATTACAGAAACACCAACAAAGAAGAGTAAACCCAAGAAGAGTACGTCCAAAAAGAAGGCGCCTGTGATCTCCTCTGCCGCTCCGAGCCAAGAGGAAAACATCAACGCTGTAGAAGACAGAGCAGCGACGCCCACTCTTACCTCGTCAAAACAGGATGAAATAAAAGATGTGACCATGATTGAAGAAAAAACTGATGAGACACCGTCTGAGCCCAAGAAAAAGAAGAAGAAAAAGGAAATGAGTGAAGATAATGTGAAGGAGAATACAAATGACACTGGTGTCGAAGGAAAAGATGGCAAGAAGAAAAAGAAGAGTGGAGTCACTAGAGGGACACAGGGAGATAGCATAGAAGAAGAAATCATAGCGAGTGTTGATAATGTGGACACTTTAGAACCAAGAAAAAAAAACAAGAAGAAGAAAAAAGCTGAAAAGGTACAAGAAAATACAGAGCTGATAGTTGAGGAACCAAAAGAGACGGCTGAAAGTGAAGAAATATTAGAACAAAAAGTAGAAGAAAACGGGAATAATTCAGAAGAGATACCTGAAGAAAAGAAGCAAAAGAAGAAGAGGAAGGAGATTGCTAAAAATGAGGAAAATTCAGAGCAGATCGTTGCAGAAAAGAAAGCAAAGAAGAGGAAGGAGAAACCTGATGAAGACAATTCAGAGCAGATAGTTACAGAAAAGAAAGCAAAGAAGAAGAAAAAGGAGAAACCTGATGAAGACAATTCAGAGCAGATAGTTAAAGAAGCGGATGATAGCGAGGAGATGACGGAGCAGGTATCTGAAGAAAATACAACAATGACAAAGATATCAGAGAGCGGTGACGGAGAGGAACAGCCAGAGCAGAGCACTGAGGTGAAGAAGAAAAAGAAAAAGCTCTTATCATTGGAATATAATGACACAGAGCCACTGCTTCCACTCAACCTAGACACGCCAAGTCCTCCGACAGAGAAGAAGAAAAGTGAGTCCCCGTAATCATGACAACATTCTATTTGGGGTTTTGTCTTTTGCAAGTTTGTATTCACTCTTTCATTTTTTCCTTCTGTCAGAGAAAATCAAGTTAAAATCAGCTGATGTCCCAGAAACCCCTGCACGTTCTGTCCCAGACAGCGAACCTACAGAAACCATCCAGACACCCTCAGGGGACTCAAGCCACAAAAAGGTATGACACGTTCTACTTCTCACCTCTTCTCCGACTCTGGTCAAAGCATAATAACATTTTATTAGTTTCAGTGGAAAGATAACTCATACTTACTTTTCTGTTATTCTTCACAGAAAAAGAAATCCAAGAGTCATGAAGATGTCTGATTCTGCATCCCTGGAAACGCATCCTGTCCATCTTAGTACTAGTTATTTTTTAATTGTCCTAAAGATAGCTGTAAAAAACAACTAGTTTTCTATTTGGAACATTTCTTATCTTTTTCTTTTGTTTTATGTTCACCAACACAGTGTGGCCTACTTTCTGTATATTTTTATTTTTGATCCCTCCTATGATATTTTTCTATTTCAATTATAATAATTCTGATATTGATTGAAAAGAAAAATGTCTTGTAAGCACATTCTCTTTCACTCAGGTTTTCTTATGAAAATCACACATTCATTTGTATGCCTACAAACTACAACGGTTTTATATTTATGTAAAAATACATTAGAAACTGTTTAACAGCCTATTTTGGTATAAAGTTGAATACATAAGCCTGTTTTTTAAGCAACATTTTATATATTTTATAAAGCTTTTACATGTGTACAAACATTATGTCTTCAAATACAAATTAAAACTCAAGGGTTTCTTTTCAAGTCCTGTGCCTCTGACCTATATTGTGTCAACTGTAGACTGAGGTGGGTGGATTTGGGGGGTTTTGAATGTTGTCAGTGGAAGAAGTAGTAGTGCTTCACTTTCTCCTTTAAGAAAAACTGTGACTTAAATAATATACCTATGTAAATAATCTTGATGTCTTTTCAAGATGGAGCTTTCAGTTCTGATATAATGCCGGATAGTTCAATGAATAATAGTTCTAATGCATGATATTGTTATTTTTATATTTTGTGAGTAAAATCTGAATCTGCAACAATACTACCATCATGTAAACATATTACTACAATGTTTACCCTGATGTAGAACTACACAGTAAGTTTAGCAGTTGAAATGCATACTTTGAAGTGCTTAATGGGCTTTTTGTCATGGTTATAAGTTATTTTGGGGTACAATAAGTCAACTTTTTCAGTTGATTTCTCCATTTGTGTTATACAGTCAGGGGATTTAAATGTTGTATTCACCATCCCAGAAAATATATACATTATGTATACAAACCTATACATATACACACATTAAGAGGTAGAAATAAAAAATAGACAGTAAATGTTCAAAAAGAGTGTAGTCTAATGGGCTAGTCTGCTAAACGGATGAATTGAAAAATATTTTAAAATATTTCAACATTACAAATACAGTAGTGCAAAACTGTCTATAGCAGCGTAGGAGAAAAACTGCCTGGAGCTGTGTGTACATAATTTAATAGAAAATCATATTTTAACATATTAAACTTAAAGCATTTTAAAGCCCTTATATTCAGGCCAAGATGCCCCCTTGGCAGTGAAGATAAATGCAGTGTTCACTTGCGGGTGCAGTACCTCGCTGCCAGCTGGGCCCGCTAGATGTCGCTGCAGCATCTGAAGGTCTGTAAAAAAGACAGCGAAGAAGAGCATCAAAAAACATCTTCCAACATGAGAGAAGAAGAGGCCAACCTAACCGGCGTTTAACTGTTCTACCTGCAAGCTGTTGACCTGGAAATAAATACAATGTGGAGATTAAACAAAGTCCGCCACAAAGCTGGTCGACCAGGAGACAGCGTGGAGGAGCTGAAGTTAAAGAGGCGAGAACACGAGAAAGGTGAGAGTGCTAATGACAAGAAGTGTGATGTGTTTTACTTTAGTCTCATTAACCAGCCAACGTAACACGCTTAATAACTTTCCAATAGGCTGGTTATGAAACAACAATAACATTGACCAATCAAGACATCAAGTATAAAAGAGGCAGTTTATAAGAAAAAAAAATAGCAATATGGAAAAATGTATGTTCTTTTTAATCTAAACTAACTTTATTTAACAGTATAAACGTCTAATTATTAATGATGTAACTAAGATACCTAAAATCTGATTGGGGAGAAGTACTCAGATCTTGTACTTCAGTAAAAGTATAAGTACCAGAGTGTAGTAATACTATGTTACAAGTAAAAGTCCTGCAATCAAAATGTTACTAAAGTAAAAGTAGAAATATACTAGCACCAAAATATACTTAAAGTGTTTTTATTCCAATTACTGATGCATTAATGTTTTTATCATACTGGTCAAGGTGCAGCTGGTTTTAATTACTTTGTATGCTGCAGGGTAGTAGGCTACATGTTTTTAAGGGTACTTTATGTTTCACATTATTTATCCAAATCTGCAAAGTAACTAAAGGTGTTAAATAAAGTGGAGTAAAAGTACAATATTTACCTCTGAATTGTAGTGAGGCAGAAGTACAAAGTAGCATAACATTTAAATACTCAAGTAAAGTACAAGTCCCTCAAAATTGTACTGAAGTACAGTACTTGAGTAACTGTACTTAGTAACTTTACATCACTGCCTAAAATGCTCTTGTTTTTGAAAGCCCTACCAGCATACAGTCCTCTGTCTCATTGCCCATGACAACCAGCTGCAGTGGAAAGTCATTTACATTCAATCACAAAATTACATTTTGACATTTGCTTTACTTGAGTATCTACGTTCTCTGCTACTGTATACTTCTACTGTACTACATCTCAAAGGCAGATCATATTTTCTTTACTCCTCTACATTCATTTGATCATGTATATGATATATATATATATATATGTATATTTTTAGGCCAATACTTTTGTACCTTTACTTTATTACAATATCAAAGTATTTCTTCCACCTCTGCATCTAGCTATCTTAGCTGAATGTTTACCTTTCAAGTTTTTAACGTAATAAACAGAAGGCATTTTTCCAAGTTCCTGTAGAGTTGGTCGGATATAATGATATCAATCAACAGACATCAACTCAGTGCCTACTCTATTCAGTGCAGAGATATAGTCCATGTTCAATGTAATCATAGCTTTTTGGTATCACATTGGTAACTTCATCATTATTAACTGGTGGCCAACTAGCTTGGGGCAATTGATTATGTTTTTATTTGATAGCCTTCCAGACAAAAATACAACATTATTTTTATATAGTAATAAATAGGGAACAATAATCCAAGTCGATTTTTAGTAATTCCTTCAGCAATTGTGACCGTCTTATAGTCAATCTAACTCTTCATCACAGAGCAGTCTCTGAATTTGACAGTTGTATGGCTTCAAGGGCATCTTTATGTTAAAACGCTTAAATATGATTGGCTTCTCTCAGCTGAAGCAGGCAGATGGTGATTATATTTGTCTATGTTGAATGCTGCAGCGCTGAGACAAGCCCGCAGAGACAGACAGCTTGTGAGTAAGAGACTCCTCCTGAATGACGATGAGGACCAGTCAGAGGTCACCATGGACACCAACTCAGGAGAACAGGTGAGAACGACAATGTGATCGATAATGCTCTGGTAAATCAAGTAAAACTCCCCATCTCACCATGCTCCTCTTTTCCCTCAGGATGTGGTCGCTGTTCTTCAGAAACTTCACCACAGCGGGCCGGAGAGGGACACCCACCTGAAAGCTTTGAGTAAAGCTCTGCGGGACCCGTCAGCACAGCTCACCTTCATCAAGTACAGCTTTAACTGTTATCGTCACATCCATGGTGGATTATGAGATATGAGCCCCTTGTCACAGCCATTTTCTGTGTCCTCCCTGCAGGCAGGAGAATAGTATGCATCTTCTGGTTGGTCTCCTCACCGGCTCTGATGCTACGTGCCGTCTGCAGGCGGTTCGATGCCTGCATGAGCTGTCTCACTCCCCCCACACCAGTGTGGCTTCAGCCTGTCTACCTGCCTCCCCCTACCTACTCACCTACCTCTCCGGACAGAGCACCAAGTTCACTGTGAGTACTCCTTCATACCGGGTAGTGTGTAATTTATCCAACTTGTTATATGTGACATTTTTGAATTTCCATGTGTGTGTTCATGCAGGAACTCTGTCTCTACACGCTTGGTAATTTATGCCCGGATAGTGTTGTGAAAGAGAAGCTCCTGGCACAGGGGATCGTGCCAGCCCTGGCTAGCTGTTTAGAGGTAAACGTATTACTTCAACACAACGTTAACGTATTAGTAAATCTTTGTGAACAAAATGTATAAAATGTTTGCAAAGAAACTAAATCCAATTCTTATCTCTCATAGCTCTGAACATGTGTCACACAGGGTTTAATGTGGTAACGTTCACCTGTCTATCTTGATGTTTCTATGTGTCCAGAACCAAAGACATAACCTGGCGGTAGTGGAAGCTGTTGGATTCACCCTTTCTCAGCTTCTCCAAGCCAACGATGCAGCAGAGAAAATAATCCCGTAATGACACCAGTTCACCTCTCCTCTCCTCTTCATTGCTGTTTCTTCAGATCAGGTCACTTTTAAGAGATTGCTCACATTTACTCCTGTTGTCTGATGTATTCCTGTTGTCCTCTGTGTCTGCAGGATGGTCCTTACCTCCAGCTTACCTTCACACTTGTTATCAGTCCTGACTCCTGACCCGAAGTTTGGCCTGGGTCCTGCCATTGAGTGTGCTTGGTGCATACACTACCTAACATGCAGGTGAGAGAGAATTGTCAACAGTCTGTTACATTAACTAAGTTGTTATTATATCTAATTTATCATCATAACACTCAGGGCCGGCCCTGACCAATTTGCTGCCCTAGGCAAGATTTTATGACTCGCGCATGCATGCATGTGCACGGTTGTGGCATGACCACCAAAACAGAAAGATATGGACACAAGATGTGTGCAAATGTATTTAGTATCCTATCCATTTGAACATGATTTAAGTGGGGGGTGGACCTAACCTCCTCTAGGGGGGTCCGGGGGCATGCTCCCCCGGGAAGATTATTATTTTTTTAATATTGAAGTTAAAAGCATCAATCTGGTGCACTTTGAGAGCAAAATTAAGAGATCTATGGATACATCTCTCAACACCCATATGAAACAGAACTGGAAGCAGATTTTCTTTTTCTTTATGATATTTTACAAATCACTCCCCTTTTAAACTGTATTCTTGTTTATTAATAACAATTTTGTTTTACTGTCATATAGTATTTTATACCTGTTTTTCATTTATTCTCTTATTTTTTTATAACCATAATGATCATATAAAGGTGTGCCTTTACCTCACTGAGCTGAGGTTATCAGAGCCGCTCAGTCTTTCAGGAGAGAGCTCTCGCGGCCGCTTACACAGTAAATTCCAATGTTAATAAAAGCACACGGAAGCTGTATACGTTTTTTGGGAGTTTGATTTATTTTAAATGAACACAAATACAAAATTAAAACCTATAATTGCACACTAAAACCATTATTTCAAAAAAAGAACTATTTCACATAAACCTCTGGTTTTTACTGGGGCTGGGGCAGTTCAACTTGATTTTGGGGGGGGGTGCGCCATAGTTTATTGGCGCTGTACGCAATATAGGCGTAGTTCTGTTAGTATAAGATAATAAGATGTACTTTGTTGATCCAAAATCGGGAAATTGTGTTGTTATGAAATAAATAAAAATAAACCTTTTTATTTATTTATTTTTTTTCCCAATTTTCGGCCCCCCTGATGGGTTGATGCACCCTTAGCATTCGCCTATACTGCCTATGCCAAGGGCCGGCTCTGATTACACTAATAATCTGTGTCTCTTCTGCCTTCATTTCACTCCAAAAGTATGAAGGACCACAGAGTGCTGCTGGCTCAGGGTGCCCTGTTGCAGTGCAGTTCCCTGTTAGTGTCACTAGGTGGTGCTGTGGCTGAAGGAAACAAAGAAGAAGGAATGGAGCTGGTAAGGAAATGAATTAATTGAATAAATATATAATTGTATTTGTTGCTTTTAAAGATTCTTGTTTGATTTTGTTCTGGTCAGATTTGATCTCTTAAAGAAAATTTGCCACAATAAAAAGTATACGCAATTTGTAATCTCAAAGATGAAGTATGCAACTGAAATGGAGATTCTCAATGTGTTCCTCCTCTGTAGTTAATCTGTCCTCTGCTGAGGTGCGTGGGGAACCTGCTCTCCTCCTGTCCACTGACGGACCTCAGTGCTCAAATGGGCGACATTCGTATCGTGGTGGCTCTGTGTGCTCTGCTGCAGGCCTTCCTGCACACCCAGCCAGCGCTGGCTAGAGAGAGTGCCTGGGTCCTCAACAACTTCACCGGTACGAACAGTCTTAGGCACACCTGATCTCTGATGAATCTCAAACACATACTTCTGCAATAATGATGCTGAATATGGCTTTTAAATTGGGATTTGTCTTTTATGTACTCTGTCTATTTGGCTCAGGGACAGCTAACGCTAGCAGACATGTTTCAGTCTGTAAGCACACAAAATAAATATTTCACACTTTATCATTGTTTTTGTGTCACCTAAATAGTTGTGATGGATAAATAGTTTGTTCCCATGCCTTTTCCTTCTTTCTGCTACAGCTCACTCCAGAGCTCGCTGCTCCGCCCTGCTGACTCTCAACTTGGTCCCTGGGCTGATCCAGCTGCTCCCATTCTCTCAGGGCATCAACACCATGGTTAAGGCAACTTTTATTTTCCTTGCTTCATAGAAAATGTCACTGTCATTGTAGCACTCGAAGATGAACGATGTGTTTTTATCTGTGACGTTTTTTGTTCTTTGAGTTTTTTATGTCACACTCTCACTGGTCTGTGCTTTCTTGTTGTTTTCTTGTTAGATCCTGAGGGTTCTAGCAAATATTGCCCACAGCAAAAAGGATTTCTGTGTCCAGCTGGCCCATCGTGGATTGCTGTCTGCACTCTGTGCCACACTTAAAATGGCCGACCAAGAGATGGTGACCCTGAGTATGGATGTCCTTTTCATGCTGGTAGTTAGCAGTCCACAGGTAAGTGAGTGCCTTTGAAACAATGATCCTGCTCATTGGGAATAACTGATGACACGCTTTTAACAAGATACTTAAGGTCAAACAGCTTTTACCCAAAGTATTCCCTTCTTTTAGGTGGCAGAGGAGTTTGTGAAGCAAGGCGGGCTCTTACTGTTAGAAGCCATCCAGTACAACAGTGAAGGAGAGATCAGACAGAGAGCGACACATCTACTGGAGCACCACCTGCTGTCATAATCATCCTATTGCTCGGTAAAGACTGTAACATTTGTACTCAGTTCTTTTTTTAACTGACTGACATCATCTCTCGATCTGCAGGGAGACAACATCACATGTTCACAATGTTTTATATTTGTCATTTTAATAAAATTTGATCATGATATATTGGTATTTCAATATTTACTGTCGTGTTGTTATCAATGCAACTGTAGTGTATGTATATGAAATATACCCTAAACTTTGTACCTCTAGTCTTTTTCTCTGTTTATTGTGCAACCATCTCTTGAGAGGCTGAAGATGACTGATGTACTTTTGCTCTTCACAGTATCTGATCAGAAATGTGAACACTTACTGTCTGCACACATGGCTTTATTTGGTTGACTGTAAATATTGAGACCAAGGGTGATGCAAAAGCACAATTTGTATTGGTTTTGTGACATAATGGATGTTATAAGTATCATGTATTTTTGAGCTAATGATGCATTCTCATTACAATGCATGGCCATGAAATAAATAAAAAATATCAACTTTACTACCATTTTAAGTTATTTAAGGGTAAGATATTCTTTAGATAGTTTGTTTTCTTTTCTTTACAAGGATATTGGGATGAATGAAAGAGCTGCAATTATTTGTACCTTTTTCATACAAAACATGTTTTACATTTTAAACGGTCTCAGTGGGATCATGTCAATGCGGGGCTAACGGGCTATAGTCACACATCTGGGTAGCCCCGGTCAGCCCCGGCAGGTGTCATTTCATTTGGAATATATGAACAAATTAAATTTAAAAAAAAAGGAAAAAAACATTTCCTAAGTACCTCTGTTGTTTCCAGTGGCGTTTTCTCCCGGAGGCCAGGGAAAGCCAGGCTCCCCCAGTTTTTCAGACCGTCGTCTGTGCTGCCATCTCTCCCTTATTTTCATAGTATTTTACAAAGAGTAAAACCTCTAAATGTTACAGTCTATTTGGTGGATGTGTGGTGAAACACGGTATTGCACTCACTGGTGCCCTAATAATGCATGGATGTATAATGCCAGTATGCCACGGTCCAGAGGAGGCTGGTGGTGGGAAATTATACGACATGATTATTGACCACAGGCCTTCCTCTACTAATAGGGTGAGTGAAGTACACACACACTTCTCTCTCTGACGCTACTGTTTACTGAGCTGCCCTTTAGCTGTGTGTAGTTTCTGATGTGCTTACTTACTGTGTGCTGCTGGCCTGGAATGACCTTCATCATGTGTTACTTTCTCGAGTACTTGTTTTATTAGAGTTGTTTACTCACAGAAAAAGTGGGGCCAGGTTAGCTGAATGATCAGTTTGAGAGCTAATAACAGATAGGAGGACTCGCTGGGCCGTTCTCATTTCATCAAATTCCCCTCCTCGACTCCCCTCCTCGACTCCTATCCTCGAGACTTAGTCCCGCCCACGGGAGATGCGAGCGGAGGAGCCGAGGAGGGGAACCGAGGAAAGAGGAGTGGAAGCAGCAGGCGGTTAGAGAAATGAGAACTCCTCTCCTCTGAGCGGTCATTGGCGTAGGCTCCACGAGGACGAAAACGGGTTGAATCCGCATATTTCTCATGCGTATAGCCCTTTAAGCTTGACGACGCCGTAAGGGAAACGTAGAAACATACCCCGCAAACGACAACGGGTCCAAAGGTGGATAGATCTGGGAACGGAGCGCTCTGGGGGGTCCAACGGGGCCGTGGGGTCGCCTATACGGTCATGCGTTTCATAGCCCCGCCTCTCCCCGCCTCTCCCCACCTCTGCTGCTCACCTCCGCAAAAGTACACTGCACACTGAATTCAGATTATTTATCTTTATCTCGATATGAACATAAACGCGAGTGAAGTCTAATCTGACAGGACGGAGACACGCAGCTCCTCCGGCTGTGAAGCAGCGAGAGCAAAACACACACTTCAAGTCAGATCACCACCCTTAGCTATTTTAATTACCTCTCAAACTACCTAAACTAGTTATAAATATGTTTATTTTTACTGTCGGGTTTACTTACTGGATCAGCTGCTGCATGAGGAAGCATGAAGATTTAAACTTTAACACACATTGACCGGCGAAAAACTCTGCGCGGTTCCCTCGGCCCTCACCCATGGATGTGCCCCCACCGCGGAGAATAAACAGAAGTGCAGCCATGACAACCATTCTTCTTCGCTGCTTTTGTGGAGGAAGTTGCTGCTTTTGTGGAGGAAGTTACAGCGCCACGTACAGGTTCGGCATATGTACTGCAGCTTTTCCAGCGGTTGGATGTAAACGGCAGTGGCGACTGGTCATTAGGGGCAGGTGGGGCACAGCCCCACCTAGTGTCAGCAGAAAGTATTACAAATAATGATTACAAAAATGCAAAAAAATGAATAAAAAAATATATAAAATATATTTTAAGATCATGTTTAATCATCTGATTCGTCTGTACATTGCTGTTTTAGTCTGTGTTCTTCTAATTAGTGTGTCTACAGTCACAGTGTGTGCCTATTGAGCTGTTTAGAGCCATGTGGGACAAAACCTGATTATGCCCCTTCCTCTCGCTGTGAAGTGAACGGTGACTGTAAAAACTACACTGCGCATGCTCAGAGTATTTTGTAATGTAATGTGTGTGGCAAAAAAATAATGACCAGAGGGGCACGGAGCTACCATCCCCACCATACGTCATCTCAAATCATTCAGAGCTGATTGGCTGTAAGTACGTGTGCCGCGAAAAGTGTGGTGCTTGAAGAGGAGGAGAGAGCTGCAGTGGCACGTCCTAAAACCAGGAAGTAAGCACAAAAAAGCAATGAGATTTCTCCAGAGGATTTTAGAAAATAGCTCGAAATAAGATCTGTGGGAAACGTACCTGTTAGATAAATGCACGTTTTGATTAGCCAGATAACATCCACATGTCTACCCTACTTTTATAATTGTTTTATCATAAATCTATGGATTATATTTATGATAGACTTTTGAAACTACAAGAAGATAAGGAGGACTTTTACAAAAAAGTAATAGAAATGTTTGTCCAGAAGGATAGGCAAATGGACTTCATCTTCAAGTCAAGGTAAGACCGCCATTTTATTGAAAATGGGATCTTACTAAGAGAGAACAATTCAATATTTAAATGATAAAATTACATTTTTTGGGTATCCTTTTGTTGAACTGTCTGTTTAAAATTAATCGAAGCATCAGACAAAAAAAGCTTTTGAAAATAATATTATATTTTGGTTTAGGTCAAAATATAATATTTGTAAACCTGAAGAGTCAGTGCCAGTGCCTCAGCAGCCATGAACCTCACTGCACGTCACTGCAGAAGCTTATATACAGACATCTAAGTTTTTTGTGCCCCACCACTTTTGTACATATAAAAACGCCACTGGTAAACGGAGCCGTCTCGTGGAGCTTGACACAATCCGGTGTATATTGCGTGTGGTCGGAAGGTTTTTTGCGGTTGCGTTTGCGTTACTCCGATGCGTTTTGCCGTATTTGTTCTCGTGGAGACGTCCATTAATGATGACAGGAGGCACAGCAGCCCTCTGTCTGATGGACAGATGTGTTCATGATGACTTATTTACTTTTAATTCATTGACAGTGCGGTATAATGAGACAATAACAGGCTACAGATGCGGACACACACACACACATATATATATATATATATTTATATAAATATATACAATTTCAGAATCAAACAGAGCACTCTCATAATAACGTAACACTATCAGAGACTGGATATATCCCCCCGTACAGCCGTTGTGTATTTTATTATGTGAAGCTCTAAATGGTTTTAGAAAAATATCGACTCTTTGTTTGTAGATATCTACTAAACTAAAGCAAATAAAGAGAGTAATGTAGGCCTGTTATACTGAGTGATATATATTATACACACTGCTCTGCTTTCTGCACGGACCTCACAGCTGTTCTCACTGTAAACATCGCGTCGCGATGAAAGCAGTTAATAAAATAATATCCAGGGGATGCATGCAGAGCTGTCATTGGCTGAGATAAATCCGGCCGTGCGTCACGACTCTTTGAAACATGTTCTGCTCATAACGGGTTTTAAAATGCATTAATTAAAAAGACGTCAATGGAAGTAGTGTGCGTGGGTGTGTGAGAGAGAGACCGAGGCAGAGAGAGAGAGAGAGAGAGAGAGAGAGAGAGAGAGAGAGAGAGAGCACATGAGTGTTGATCAATAAAGTGTCAGCTGTACTGTAGGCCTATGCCGCGAGTGCATGGCAGCTTCTTACGTTACATTACAGTAAATGATACCCCCCTGCCTGGATGACTGATAGGAGCCTGTACATTGCAAATAAAGTTTGCAGCGCCTCCCCTTAATAAAAAAAAAAGGAAAAGGTCTCACATTTCCCCATTTCCTCTTTCCACCCACAACATTCTCTTCCCGTTATCACGCACACTGCTTCTCTGCAAGAACAGCTAAAACAAGGTGGGTCCCTTCATGTTTTTGTAAATATCCCTGCTTCTAGCATGTTGCATGCAGCTGAACTAATTCTGCCTCTTTAAATCTGCTTAGCTGTGGAGAATAAATCTGTTTTGATTCTTTCTCTCCTCCCACAACCTAAAACAGTGTTGCAATGGAGGGAACTGAGTCAACAGCAAGAGAGAGATCAACAGCAAAGGATGGGAACAAGGCAGCAGACGCAGACCAAGAGGTGCTGATGTCCAGCAAACCGCTGCATCGCTTCGTCCAAAGAGAGCCCAGAAATGTTGGGGTAACAAATCACACAATCCAGAGCCACAGAAACTAATGTTACACGTTTACACAATGAGCAGCTGCAAACTCTTACTCTACTGTAGGCACTTGAATCCATCCTTCTCCTCCTCCTCAGATTGCCATTCTGATCTTTGGCTGTGCCGAGGTCATGATGGGGTTTACGCTGTCCGGGGAGAGGGATGTGTTAACTTCTTTTGGAATCTTCATATCCTTCTGGCAGGGAACTCTGGTACATGACATGTGGCACACACATGCATTGTCTTCACAATTACCATGTACATTTTTACAAATGTCTCCTTGGTTTCTAAAGTTAAAAGTTCACCATTTTTGGAAATATACTTAGATATATCCTGCTTCTCATCCAACTCACGACAAAATAAGGAACAAGATCAAATACGCCTATTTCCCAGTTTTACTCAAGTTAAACCGTTATTAGCACTTGTGCCATATTGAAAATCATTTTTTTATAGATGTTAAAGGGGACAGGCAAATTGGTAGACAGAGGATGTTATTGTTTTCTCCACTTAAGTCTTTATTACATTTCTGAATGAAATTAAAAAAGACATCCAAAATTTCACTCCAGTTCAGGAAAGCTTTCTACAGCTACAATGGTGATAAACATGACATATAAACAAAGGTCATACAGTCATCTAAATGTTTCTTGGGGTGAATGTCAAAGTAAGAATTATTATTTGATTTGATTGTTCTCAGTTTCTTGTCTGTGGAAGCCTGTCTATCTACACTGAGTTACGTCCATCCAAGAAGATGGTAGGTATATTGTGATTTTATGATCTATAGTGGTTATAACTTTATTTTGTCACTGTCAGTCTCTCCCTTTCTTTACTCAATAACTCATCCCATGTTGTTGAACCTCTCTCTTCCAGGTGACTGTGTGTTTGTCTATGTATGTGGTTTCCCTTCTTGGAATCATTGTCTCTTTTGGCTACAGGATACACATTCTCTCCTATTTAACGTACCTTAACTTTGTGCGCTATTGGAGGGAGTCTTTAAGCCTGCAGAGAATAGTGAGTTACAGACATGTGATCTACACTACATGGACACATATCCACATTGTATGAATAACTTCCTCTTTCTTGTGCTTCAGCACCAGATTTGTGCTATTGAAGCCCTTTTGTTCACTTGCTCTCTGTTTGTGGCGGGTCTTCTCATCTTCTTGTGTGTCATCACACGTTTGGCTCTCAAATCCACACGCACTCAGGTAAAGCATTTTTCATCGTTTCTCCATCTGAAACATTCCTTTACCACTGAGTGTGTCGGGGTTCACAAAACAAACTTTTGAACAGCATTACATTTGCACATGAAAATGTTAGTGAAAACTTCAAATAAAACATGAAAGGTAAAAAAGAATGAGAGAACTGGAGAAATATATTCTGGACGATCTCTTTGGCAACAAAGCAATGTCTGTTTGTTTCCCCTTTATTCCTGTTGGCAATGACCCGCCCTCTTGTGTTGTAATCTTAATAATAATAATAATATATTTATTTTGTAAGCGCTTTTACAGGTGCTCAAAGTCGCTTTTCAGAGATAGTGAAAAGAAAAGAACAACAAATAAATGTAACATGTAATGTAATAAATATAGTTAAAGTCAAATTCAAATCAAGCAATACAACAACAATCACACATTAAAAGAAAGCCAGATTGAAGAGGTGAGTTTTTGTACGTTTTTTGAAGGTGGTGAGGTCAGTGCAGTCTCTGATGGGTTGTGGGAGTGAGTTCCAGATAGTAATCCCTCCCAAATTCATTCATATAACGTTAATGTCACTCAAAGAGTTGCTGACTGAATAAAAGTCCACAATGTAATGTCTTTCTATTCAACCAGAAAAGCCTAATTGAAATGATGCAGCATTAACAAAGAGTAAAACGACACCATGAGACAGATATCACTTCAGTATTAAACAATTAAACAGACATGCAATAAAATAATAGAATCATGATTGATATGATGTCCAGTACAAAAATAAATGAGTCCTAAAGACCATCTAAATGGGACCTCAAATACAAACAATACATCTGATCAGTTATATTCACTGTTACTGCCTCCTTCCCTAACACATGCCCTCCGTATCTTCAACAGATTATTGTCCGGCACATCTCGGCTCCACCGACCGACACGACTGCAACTTAATCTCATCCTTGTGAAGTATTATCCTACGATAACTAACACTGGTTTTCCTGCAGCACACTAACTCCTGTACAGTATATCACATGTGAATGTTACACCCACTAGAGGCTCATCTTTAAGCCCCAGCTTCTTCTCTTAGCACAGCACATGTTACTGCAGTAGGAAATGCATTATAACCACATTTATTTGCTTTTGTTAAAGCTTGTTTTGGAATCTAAAAGATTCCTGTCTTCTCATGTGAGAAAAATATTTGACATGCACTTATTAAGGGATTAAAGTAACCACTATTATCTGAAGGAAAGCCTATATGTATTTACTGTACGGGTCATACAGTAGTAAACTAAAGCTAAGGTACATTACTTTGAATTAAAGCCTTGAGGCAAACAGGGCTGATACTGATCACTGATACATACACCAATATGTAAAGTATTGTAACAGTACTGTTATTGTAATTTATATAAATATAAAGAATGATATCAAAATACATCAACATATGTGATTATTATCTACATTACCTGAATTATTTGTAATGTGCAGAAAATGAGCATCGTTATGAACTGCAGCTTTTGATAATCATTGTGAACCTCTTTATATATTTGATATACTGAGCTGCAAATATTTCTGCTTTGTGATTTAGTTACAGCACAGCAGATCCACCTGGGATTGCCACTTTAGAGGAATTACAGTATGTTTGAATACATTTGGCTTTTTATATCCTCGGACACAAACATCCAGCATTATTTTTTTAAGCTTATGACTTAAATATTGTTCACCATTTTCATCTATACGACTTTGAAACCTGTTGCCACTTTGGGCCTTTGAATGTGTGAAAAACAAATATTTTTGATTTAGTTTTAGCTTATATGTGTTGCACTAAATGTAATGTATATTGTCTTTGCTAAATAAACAATACAATGAAATGATTCTCAGGTCGCTGATTATATTACACACATTTGTATCTATACTGTACACTAACAGTGACCACTCCACACAGACATAGTGCACTATTGATTCATCATCATTGTTTATCATATAAAGATAACAGTCTGTACCACTTTGAACACATTGTTAGATGGCAAGCAAATAATTAACCGGGGTCTTTGTTTTAGTAGGCTACAAGTTAAAAGCCCAGCATTGAATTCTGATGTACACATACATTTAAGATAAGTTAGAATTTACAACATATTGAATACAAATAAACTATAATGTGATCCTTTCACCATTGCCTAAAAGATTAACAGTTTAGGTACAAAAGATGATCAAATAAGTAATATTAATCATTGTGTTCCTATATTAGAAAATGTACAATTGAATACTTTTACTTACAGTTTAACATTTATATTTGTGTAATCAAACTGATCAGCATCAGCACATTTCAGTGTGCTTATTAGCTTCTGATCCTGTGTTGATTTTGAGGTGGAGCAACACATTTAGATTAGATTATTTTAAAATGCTATCAGTATATCCCCATGAATGTTGTGTTTGCACATTGTGGCTCCCTCATTTAGTTTTTTCATAGACATCCTCTTTAATTGTCATTAAGTTAACGAACACAATGCTTTTTGTCCCTTTTTAATGTGGAGTTGTTTTGCCCATGTTTTTAGTTATGTCTCCCTGAAGGTGCTTTTCATCTCTTTTGTAGTCGTTTTATGTTATGTTGTGGTCATTATGCATCTCTCTCTGGTTGGTAATGTCTGTTTGGGTGTAATTTAATTTATCCAACTTGTTATACGTGACATTTTTAAAAATGTTATGTGTGTGTTCATGCAGGAACTCTGTCTCTACACGCTTGGTAATTTATGCCCGGATAGTGTTGTGAAAGAGAAGCTCCTGGCACAGGGGATCGTGCCAGCCCTGGCTAGCTGTTTAGAGGTAAACTTATTACTTATTAACAAAATGTATAAAATGTTTGCAAAGAAACTAAATCCAATTCTTATCTCTCATAGCTCTGAACATGTGTCACACAGGGTTTAATGTGGTAACGTTCACCTGTCTATCTTGATGTTTCTATGTGTCCAGAACCAAAGACATAACCTGGCGGTAGTGGAAGCTGTTGGATTCACCCTTTCTCAGCTTCTCCAAGCCAACGATGCAGCAGAGAAAATAATCCCGTAATGACACCAGTTCACCTCTCCTCTCCTCTTCATTGCTGTTTCTTCAGATCAGGTCACTTTTAAGAGATTGCTCACATTTACTCCTGTTGTCTGATGTATTCCTGTTGTCCTCTGTGTCTGCAGGATGGTCCTGGCCTCCAGCTTACCTTCACACTTGTTATCAGTCCTGACTCCTGACCCGAAGTTTGGCCTGGGTCCTGCCATTGAGTGTGCTTGGTGCATACACTACCTAACATGCAGGTGAGAGAGAATTGTCAACAGTCAGTTACATTAACTCAGTTGTTATTATATCTAATTTATCATCATTACACTAATGATCTGTGTCTCTTCTGCCTTCATTTCACTCCAAAAGTATGAAGGACCACAGAGTGCTGCTGGCTCAGGGTGCCCTGTTGCAGTGCAGTTCCCTGTTAGTGTCACTAGGTGGTGCTGTTGCTGAAGGAAACAAAGAAGAAGGAATGGAGCTGGTAAGGAAATGAATGAATTGAATAAATATATAATTGTATGTGTTGCTTTTATAGATTCTTGTTAGGGCCTGAGCACGAAGTGCAAAGACCTATTGTTTTCCATGTTATTATTATTCTTATTTTACCGTGTCTGCACTTTCGACCTGTTTTTGAGGGGGTTACGACCCTATTCATGTCGCGACATTTGGCAACGCCGGCAGGACGGGTGAAAATGTTAACATTCTGGATTCGATGGGTGCAACATGTACATAGTCGCAGCGTAAGTCGGATGGACCTGAAATGTTGCACACTTATCCGGGTGGAGCAGCCCTACATATTATCCTCTCATATCCCTAAGCTCCGCCTACTTAAACATTTTTTAAAGGGGACCTATCATGCAAAATGCACTTTTGTACGTCTTTTATACATGAATATGTGTCCCCGGTGTTCCAGGGAACTCACCAAGTGTCAGAAAACACAACCCTCTCTATTTTCCTCCATACCCAAATCTCTAAAAAAGGGGCTGCAACGGATCTGATAAAAACTGATCCAGATTTGAACACTGTCCTGACGTCAGGACAGTGGCGCTACGGCTATTGGGCCAACTCCACCAATCAGGAGGAGACAGCCACGGCCATTGCCGTTAGAAAGCGCTGGAGACGCTGTAGTACATATGCCAGGCCTGTAGATGGTGCTGTTCTCACTGAAGCTGCCCAGAGCTAAAAAAATGTCAAATTGAGCAAAATGAGGCATTGCTAAAATGCATGATCTGTTTGGTATTTTGAAAAAAAGAAAGTATAAATATGCCTTATATAGGTATGGTCCTACACTATATTATTCAAATATAGCATGATAGGTCCACTTTAAATTAGCATAATGTCAAAAACAGTGAAATATTAACTACAATTTCAATTGTCAGACACACTACCGTAGAAAATGAGCACCACGTGTGGAAAAATGTGGCCGACATCAGTGGCAACGTATTACCAAAAAGGTGTGGCTTACACATAAATGCTACTAATTCATCCGCAATGTATCCAAATATCACAGATTTCGGTGGATAGGTTCAGTCTGTCTTGGGGAATAGGCACAAAAAAGCATGTTCATTTTGGACAATAGGGGGCGCCAAAAACACAACAAATTCATACCTCAAGAACCGATGGACGAAATACATATATTTTGTCATAGACATACTGGCAGGATTAGTATAAACTGAGATTTAAAGGGTCGCAACCAATGACGAAGGTGGGCGTGTCCTATTCAGTTTTTTCTCCAAATCGAAGGGTTAAAAAACGTACCGAGCCATAAGTAGGGGACAAAATGAGTTACGGCCTTAAAACTTGGAACGCATGTCACAGCCCACGACCTTCTCCAGACTGTCAAAACAAATTGTACGTTTTTGCAAATACGGCTCAATAGCGTCCCCTATTGTGCGGTACTCACATATAGTGTCTCCCAGCGACCCGAGTCTTGGCACAGACATGCCTCATGGAATTGCGGACATATTTCAAAATGGCTTCCATTAGCCCCTCCCCCTATAAAGTCGGCCATTTTGAAAAATGTGCTTTTTAAGCGCGTTTTTGCGAACTCCTCCTAGGGAAATGATCGGAGAAATTCCAATCCAGCACCAGTTCAGGCCATATCCAATGTGATGCTAAATTGCGAATGAATAGTCGACCGCTCAAACGGGGTGCTCGTAAGCTCACGGAGAATGTGCCATGTTCGACCATTTAAGCCCCGAGCCTGTTTTTCAGGTTTCAAGCTCGAAAATGACATGCCCAAAACAAATGACTACAACTTCACTTTTAAAAGGGTTATATGAATAATTTCTTTTATCAAAGCAAGGTTACATATGTGAGTTGGATGTAGAAGTGTCAGAATCAATATAGATTTTTCTCAGTCAGAGTAAATTCAGATGGAACATAGCAAAAAAAGGTAAATTCTTACCTCCGCCTAAAGAAAAAACATTACTTATAGTGAAAACCACCCTTGAATGATGGGATGGTAGACTAAAGGCTTTAGGAATCCAAACTATAACATATAATAAGTACCCTGTATCAAGATTGAGGCAAAACAAGTTAAATTTGACCTTTTTAGGTTTAGCAAAAAAAAGTTCCAGGCGGAATAAGCTTTCGGCACATTTGGGTACATCTGGTTCCATCAGTGCCATTTGACCTTTTTCAGGTACCAGACTATAAAAATGATGTATTACATTGAATTATCACCATAGGCAGTGGCGGCCGGTCCATAGGGGCGCTAGGGGCGCCGCCCCACCTCTTCCCATATTGAAAAAAAATAATAATAATAATAATTAAAATTAAAATTAAAAAAAAAAAATGTTTAAAAAAATATATATGTTTTTATTTTTATTTTTAATGAACAAGGTAAATATTATATAATTGGTATCAGTAAAATGTATAATCTACAATAAAATCTCGTTTAAAATTGTGTTACGATGTCTAAAGTTACTGATAAGTCACATGTTTCCTGCCTGGCCTTGCCCATGCACCTTCTCTCGTCTGGGCGCTAAGAGAGGAGCCTTCAACCAGTGCAGCAGCAGCCACCAGCAGCTGACTGTTGCTATCTGTAACGTGTAAACTATGCCGCGAAAATATAATTTCAGCCAATCAGCGTCGTCAAAGATGACGGTCACCGGGCGCCAATGTCAGCGCCCAGTGCAGTCTGTGAGTAGTTTGGACAGTGACTCGTATCCGGTTGACGCAGTAGTTGATGAGGATGGCTTCGTGTGCAGGTGGAGTCTCCGGACCTCGGTCCCCGCCTAATTCTGTTCAAGAGCTAATCTCCAATCCTTTCGAAAGGAGAAGTTTGGCAGATAAATTGTTGCTTAAAGACCTTGCACCAGACCAACCCGATTTGAATATATCGCAGCAATCTCGTGAAAAAGACAAAATGTATACACGAGGCTTCACAAGTAGCTGGTACACAAGAAAGGCTTGGCTAGCTGGATGCAAACAGGTAAATGCTGTCTTTTGTTTCCCATGCTTGGATATCACTTTATATGTAGAGAGGAGGTTTCCCATGGTTGTTAGAAGTTTATTAATAAGTGGGCATTTATCACAGAAGTGATTGTTCTGTCTCCACGTTTGTTGCATTGTCTGTGATGTATTTTCCAACGGTTATAGCTCCTGTTCTGTCCCAGCAACACTACACGGTTTGCAGCTCCACCACATTTTTGGTTTATCTTCGGTGTCGCTTAAAATCTGCTTCCCATCGGACTAAAACCTCCACGTAATCTGAAGACAGATACTTGAAGTTATTTAAACCTTTTGCAAACTTTATGTTCTTTCTTGCTCTAGCCTTGCCAGTTACATTGTACATAACACATATATTATCATTATGCTAACTGGTTGTTCGTGTTAGACGATGTAGCTTTTTCATTTCTGAGTTATTGCTATATGTAAATAAGCCTGTTTGTAAATAATCCTCAGAGAAACAAAGAAAATACACAATTTATGACATTTTGTGCTGTGGTTATTTTTTTTAAATTGCATTTATTCACAGTTCAGTTTGAAATGCTGTAGTGACTTGTATTGAACCACTTAAATATTTATAATTAATGCTACTGAAAAGATGCTATTAATTTTATATCTCACATGCAGTTCACTGTAAAGCTACTTGGTGAAGGTGTTGGTTCATAAAACATGAACAGTTTTAAGAAAGAAAAAAACAGACCAGTTCTGAGAACACAAATTCCTGGTAAAGTAGTAGATGTTCAGGTTGATAAATAATATTTTCCACACTGAAGATTATGGAGGTATTGATCAGTCTTCTCATATTTTTAAGCCTCGATTTCTCCTTTCCCCCCCCCTCTAACATCACCAGAAGTCATCATTTAAGGGGTCATTTCTCGAAAACAATTTCCGGGGGGAAACCCCCCGGACCCCCCGGGTAGGTCACTTACGGTACGTCAAGAGCCCCACCAAAAAAAAAGACCACCGGCCGCCACTGACCATAGGTATTCATTCCATCCAAAGAAAAAAAATTAAAATAAAAAAAATTAATAAAAAATAAATAAATTTAAAAAAAATATTTTATTTTTTTTTTAATTTGTGAAAGAAAAAAAGACCCGCCGACGGGGGCTTTGGGGCTTAACAGGTTAATGACAATTAAAGAGGATGTCTATGAATGAGGGAGCCACAATGTGCAAACACAACATTCATGGGGATATACTGATAGCATTTTAAGATAATCTAATCTAAATGTGTTGCTCCACCTCAAAATCAACACAGGATCAGAAGCTAATAAGCACACTGAAATGTGCTGATGCTGATCAGTTTGATTACACAAAAATAAATGTTAAACTGTAAGTAAAAGTATTCAATTGTACATTTTCTAATATAGGAACACAATGATTAATATTACTTATTTGATCATCTTTTGTACCTAAACTGTTAATCTTTTAGGCAATGGTGAAAGGATCACATTATAGTTTATTTGTATTCAATATGTTGTAAATTCTAACTTATCTTAAATGTATGTGTACATCAGAATTCAATGCTGGGCTTTTAACTTGTAGCCTACTCAAAACTAAAACAAAGACCCCGATTAATTATTTGCTTGCCATCTAAAAATGTGTTCAAAGTGGTACAGACTGTTATCTTTATATAATAAACAATGATGATGAATCAATAGTGCACTATGTCTGTGTGGAGTGGTCACTGTTAGTGTACAGTATAGATACAAATGTGTGTAATATAATCAGCGACCTGAGAATCATTTCATTGTATTGTTTATTTAGCAAAGACAATATACATTACATTTAGTGCAACACATATAAGCTAAAACTAAATCAAAAATATTTGTTTTTCACACATTCAAAGGCCCAAAGTGGCAACAGGTTTCAAAGTCGTATAGATGAAAATGGTGAACAATATTTAAGTCATAAGCTTAAAAAAATAATGCTGGATGTTTGTGTCCGAGGATATAAAAAGCCAAATGTATTCAAACATACTGTAATTCCTCTAAAGTGGCAATCCCAGGTGGATCTGCTGTGCTGTAACTAAATCACAAAG